TGACTTTAGCATGCATCCCTATTTATACTTGAGGGATCAAACCTAAAACCTTAATGGACCAAATCCATTGGTCCATCGGCCCATGAATGGTGACAACCAATCATAATCCGCAATGCAGCAGCTTCTGGAACATTCATCCATGACATACAACACATAGGTATCAGCAACGCACATGATGGAGGACCATGAGCCACATTTGTAACATCTAGTTCCAAATAAGCATCACTTGTGAGTTTATCAATTAAGCTTTTAAGGATGAAAACCTTTGCCACGACGTGAGCATGTGCGTGTCATGGCTTGGAGGTGCATTTGGATGAACGCACATCTTATTGGTTGTCACGACGTGACAACATGTTGGTCACGACATGACATCCCTTGTTAGATATGGGCATTAATGGATGGTTAGTGGCTATTAAGTCCATTCTAGATGTGAAATGGAGCCCAAGACTTCTGTCATGGTTTGTTGTTAGATACAGGTCTAACAATATGGCTATGACTATTGCTATTTTACCTATGGCTATAACTTTTGTGTCAACCACCACCAAATCCATGAATATTGGTAAAAGGTGGTTATTGCAGGATTGTCGACTTGGAGTAGGGATACTAGACTTAAGTGTTATAGAGGAATAAGTGATGGATGTGGTGTAGAGAAGACCTGACCTTATAATAGAGGTGACTTACATGGCCTTTCATTATTCTTCTAGAACAAGTTTGGTGCAGGCTTCATAGAATGGAAGGGGATGATTAGTTTTTTTTAATAAAGGTAGCAACACTATCATAACTATTATTAACTTTGGCCATTAGTCATAAAACCAATCGATGTCCAAACACAAGTGTGCCTAACATTAGATAGTAGATCAGTAAACATCTTTAGTTCTTGAAAGTTAGAGGAGACATAGGAGAAGTTGTCAAGATAGGCGTTGGAGAATTGATTTTCCAAATAGATAGCCTTAGAATTTTTGTTGACTTAGAATATGTTTTGGCGTCGCTCCATGGGTCTTTATTGGTAAAATCAGATGCAAGTATGGTGTAAAGAAGATCATTGAAGATAGTGTCGTAGATCCATATATTGAAGAACGATAGAATGTAATTAAGACCAAGTATTATTAGAGAGGGTGGTGGTGAGGGTTTCCTTTTCAACATTAATCGAAGGTTTGAAAAAGATAATATGGTCAATAGCTTGATAGGCGCAATTGTGAATTCTAAGTAATTTGACCAAGATGTGTATCGACTTTTTTCCTTTTTGAGAGTTATAAGAATGATGCTTTTTTTAATGTTGGGGATTGTAACTACGGGGTATTTTTGGATTTGTGGCCATCAATGAATACGATGGAATAAGCTAAAGGTCTAATTAGAGAGCTCATGGTAAAATCGATTAGGGTTAATAACCTGATATGATGTGAGAATTCAATCTCTTAAGTATCCTCATTCCCATCAAATCACCATATAAAATATTTGTGATCCTTGTTTATGGTATAAGATATATTCTTGAATTAGATTTACAAAAAACGAGGATTGTATAACATAACATATATAAGCAACAGAACAAAACAACGAAAAAGCAGCTCGAGATAGTCGCAACTAGGACATCACGAAAGCAAGTGGGAATGGTGTTACCAGCCAAAGTTTTTGGGTCGACGGCCAAGCCTACCCATCACTTAATTAGAATCTCCTAGGCTAAGCCCCTTAGTTTTCTTGTATCATAAAAGGTGTCCTTTACTTTTTCATGTCTATTCATATTATGTGTAAGGCCAAGTATAAATGCCCATATTTTTTGGTTTGTACTCACTTCATTTTAGAGATGAATATCTACTAATTAACATGCTTTAGGTATTGAATTCCTATCTATGAATACTTACTGATGATATTATCTATTACTGCTTCAAGCCTCTCTCCCAAACCCCATGGCTTACTGGACCCTTACAAAAATATTCAAGTGCTACACTGATTTGAAATTTAAACTGTGATATAAAGGTAACTATATTATGCATTTTAAACTATTTGTACACCTATAAATTAAAATTCATAGCCTGAAATTTTCCAACATGCAAAGATTGGAAATTTTCTATAAAAAAGAGATCAAAACGAGCTTCATGTTCTCTAAGATTGATTAGCGTAGTTTGATCGATCTACTTTAGTCATTCCGAATAGTAACAAGATCAAATCTAATTTCCTTATGTAATACTTTTCTTAATAAAAATTGCATCTGTGGTAAACTATTTTAGTACTTTATCTATCTTTTCTAATATACACTTATGACACATACACAAAATCATTGCTTTTAAAAATGCATTTTCTAAATAGAAATGGATTGATGATATGTTTCTTTTGTGTGTAGTTTACCTATTTAATGCAAGAGAGTTATATAATAAAATAACTAAAATTTACAAATTACAATGATATAACAACAAACTACTTGGTTAGTTTATTTTTATGCAGCTGCACCCTTGTATGATAATGCATTATTCTACAAGGTTACCCTGGAAAAGCTATAGAATACACTTAAGGGATTTAAGTACAAGTAGTAAAAGGGGCCAAATGTAAGTTTACAATATTCCACAACTAATTCGGTCACAAGCTTGGCTTGTTTAATTAATTATTTATCGAGCCATTACGTTCAAACATTACATAAATAATCACTAATCTATATGCCAATGAGCAACTTTCTCATCCAATTTCAGTTTTTTATTGTTTGTTTAAGATGCTTGAATTAGTTAACGTATTTGGTCTACGTTGTAAGGTTTCCCGTAAAGTTATTTATTTCAAGAGTAGTTGAAATTAATAATGTAGAAAATTCATGTGAAAATAAAGATTTATTTCACTACACAAGAGGGAAAATGAAAACATTGTAGAAGCTACATATTGTTCAACATAGAAATTGATGGGAATGTTTCGGAAGATCGTATAATAGGGTTTCATTGTGTATTTAGTGAAAATAAACATGAAGTTCCAGGGAAATAGATACATAATGTAAAGTAACGGTCTTATATATAATCTTGTATCAAATTCTTTCCAATATTTTGTTTAGTGGTGTATGCTCCATGCAACCCTCCACCCCCACATATACATTTGCCAATTTCCTTAATTTCATGCCCTCCTACAAAATACCTATATATGTTCCTCATTCATCGGAATGAATTCAATTGTTTGTATTTTTTGAATAATATACCATTATATTTATAAAGAATAGGAAAATACCTGTTTGAGTATGCAACCAGCTGTGTAGCTGTATAGAGCCCTCTGGCTTGGAATGAAGCCGAGTCCAAGAGTAATGTGAATTATCTTGGGCCTGGCGACGTTTCAAGTCAGAAGCTCTAAACTTTTATTATTCAAATAAACTTGATCTTTCGGTTCCAATGCATGTGTATTGATTACTTTTTGTAATTTTATTGTTGCCGAATGAAATGGATCGAAGGGAAGAAGAAGAAGAAGGGTTGAAGGATATGCCTTTCCTGATGTATCACATATATATACCACCTTCCAAATTTACATAAACCATTAGCTTATAACCAGGTGTTTGTGGAGGGGGTTTAATTGTAAATGAAACCACAAATAGATGGAGTTCCCATTCATGGCCTAAACTTCTTTAAACACCATTATTTGCTCATTTAAATATACTTTAAATGATTGTTATTTATTTATAGTTTTCAAATTGTTATATTTTATCCAACTCTTATAAATTTGAATCCAAACGTTAAGATAATGCTCCTAAACCTAATTATGCATGGGATTTAGTTTTTGACCTAAAGCAATCATATTCTTAAAAAATTATGTTTTTTTGTTGTGTTGCTTTTGCATGGCTGTTGGACATTGTTGTTGTTTTTTATTTTTTATTTTTTTAATGTTTATATAGGTTTCAAAAATATCTTTTAAAAAGGAGTTATTATAAGGTTATTCTTTTGGTAAAAAACAATTTAAGTTGATTTAACCAAATTCATATAGGGTGTGATGTTTTAATGTAAAGTTCAAGATGCTGAAATGTAAAAGTTGAAGATGAAACACGAGGATAACCCTTGATCACTCAAGATCTTTGTCATTAAATCTCGAAAGGTATGAAAGTTACACTACCTTATAGTTTATATTTAAACAGAACCGATTACAAGTAAGTATGGAAATTGGATAGTGTGAGTTTGAAGAGAAAATATCCAAAGTGAACGTTTGTTTGTGTTCTTAGCTCTTTTATTTATACATTTAATAGCTAACTTGCTTTCCTATAAATCTTTGTTCGTCATGTTATCCTAATTTGACTGCAAACATAAGGGAGAGTAATCTCACTACTAGAAAAACAGCTTTTTACGACACGCAATGCGTGTCGTAAAACGCTCAGATGACGTGCAAATGCGCGTCAAGGAAGGCCCTGTCATAACGAGAGACGATACGCTTTTGCGCGTCGTCTATAGACGACGTGCATTTATGACACGCAATGCGTATCATTAAAACCCCTGTCAAGAAAGGCCATGTCATAAATGAAGATGACACACATTTTTGCGTATCGTAAATTTAAATGTTAAAAAAATATATATTTATGTATTTATTAGTTTTTAAATTAAATTTGCATTTAATGTCTCATAATAGAAATAAAATACCATATACAAAAATTACAATCCATTGCATAAAATTTAATGTCATACAATTCTATTTCTTACAATAATAAATTTGCATTCATCTAATCTACTCTGTGTTTCATACAAAAAATCTATTTCATGCGGCTTGTTCCAAGCATCCCAAAGACTAGGTACAAGAATGTCCATGACCTGAAAAAGATTCAATTTTTTACATGCTGACGAAGCCTTGTATGAGCAACATTGTAATTATATTTGTGATTAATTAATAGACAATAGAACAGCTAAAACAAACAAAATTAAGCACATATTTGAAGTATAAACATTCAATTAAACCAAATTGGGAATGAAATTTCAACATACATAGCAAAAAGATAAATGAATTGCATGGGTTTATAAGCATCTGATATGACAAAACACAATGGAAAGAAAATTTGATCAAATAACCTTCAATATTGGCATGGCTCCGGTGTAGAACCTCACTGCATCACCATATGCTTCAGATTTGATGCTTTGGTTCTTCTGGCACTCCCATCGGTGAACCGCCTTTCTCTGTCTCTCCTACTAAACTTAATGTTTTAGGGAAAAAGATCAGATTTTTAATAGTGAGATCAAATCGTAAATATTGATGTATATATCTAAATACTCATATTCAAAAATGTTTATTAAATTTGAAAAAACTTACACTGGAAACACAAAAGATCTTGAGCTACTGTCTATAGTAGACTGGCTATCTTCTTTATTTTCTGAATTTGTGGGTTCATGTTCATCTAGCATGCTTTCATTAAATTAATTATTATTACAAAACAAGAAACGCAAACCAATTAATCAGTCACAAACATTATCTCAATCAATAATACATAGAACAAATTTGTTTTTCATTTTTCCCTAAAAGCCTAATCAGGTGGAGGGAGGGGGGGGGGGGGGGCGATAGTTTGATCAACATTTTTGTCTAACTTATTTTTGCCTATAACATATGTTGTACAACTTATGTTCATGTCCATGTCCAATTCAAAAAATTAAATAAAAAGGAATTGAGAGATAGAGGATATGTACCCGTAATATTAATTCATCAGGGACATGGGGAAGGACTTGACAAACGGTTTCAACCATGGCGATTATGTTTGACAAGTCAACATTCGGGACAGGTGGAGTAAGAGCCGCTCGGCTTAGATATATATATATATATATATATATATATATATATATATATATATATATATATATATATATTGCAAAGACCTTTACATGCCTGTATTTAGAAGGAAATTTAAACAATCGTTTAGATGAATAATAACAAGCATGCAAGATATATATATATATATATATATATATATATATATATATATATATATATATATATATATTATATATAAAGATATACATACATGTAATGGTGCATATAACAGAACAAAGAAAACTAGTCAAATGCACCTCATTAATATCATATTGCTTTTCAGCTTCAATGTAAATAAAGCCCTTCACATGATCAATAGCAAATGCAGAAACTATTTGTAGCTTAGTTCCAAGAGCCTTCAAGTCAACATACTTCTGCATGAGGCAAAAAGCCGAATGCCTCTCCCTTCCAACCTACAATCAATTGTGTTAAAAAATGACATCAACTAGGGCCTAAAAGCAAGTTGACAAGCTGAACAAATTAGCTACAGAAAAAATACCATGCATTTGACTTTCCAGATTGTTGGATCCTTTGAATATAACATATATGTGTTCTTTTCATCCGACCTTGGAGCTTCAGTAGTTTGGTGGTCTTCTGCGTATCTAACAAAAGTAGAACCTGGTTCATCCCTCTCATCTTCTTTAGGAAAAAAGGGAATGTTAGGAGTCTTTAGTTCATCCTTGACCTAAAAAAAAAGCAAAAGGTTTAGTTAACACTCTTCGACTCCTACAGTGAACCTGCACACATCCATTCCCATGATTTAGTTAACAAGTCAATGTGAATCAGCAGAAAAGAATGATAAAAATCAGAGTCTTGCCTGCTACCGACATATCTAAAAGCTTTAATATTTTGGAATTTGTGGTGTTCTCCATTTCCTAATCAAAATCCTGCACAGTGCTCCCCTGCAATAATAGCAACACATATTTCATAGTTGAGAAAAAAAATTCTAAAAAGAAAAAAAGTAAATAGAATAAAAGAAAGAAAGTTGCTTTTGGTTTCGCCAAGATATACATCTATTAATTTTTTTCATTCTTATCCATATCCCAAACTAAAGTAATTCACATGAAAATAAACCATAAATCATCTTTAATTATATTCCTTGTCTTGGTCTGCAATCTACATTTATGAAGACACCAATAAGCATATGCTTACATGAGACAAATTGATTTATGATAAGCAGATTTTTACAATTGGAATCGTGTGAAGCTTCGATACTGTGATGGAGGATCTTTTGCTGGGAATAATAAGTTTGACAATGGGGTACAATAATAAACATGACTAAAATAGTTTCATTGTTAACCTCTTATTTCTTATCATTAACAAATACATACTGTAATCTTTCTTGCTAATAATACCAACATTCTAACATTTTCTTCAGAAACAGACATTAGTTCTGTTTTTCCGAGGGCAGTAGATTTGGAAAGAAATTATTGAAGATCTTCTTCCAAAAGGCATGAGGTTTGCTAACAAGGTATATACAATTAATACACCTCAATTAAAAATCTCCTCAATAATTAATGAGGTTCATCAATAGTAATATAAGTTTTGTGTTTATGTTGACTTAAATTTTCCAGGCTTTGCTTTCTGGGTGTTTAGCATCCTACTTGCATTGTAATAACTTCACCAGTTATCTACCAAATACCACCACTGTCAAATGTCTGGGTGATGCTGGATTTTTCATGGACTCGCATGTTCTTATATAACTTCTTATTAAATATTAATAGTTTAATATTTTTTTTGCTTTAATTAATATATAGTATATATTTTCTTTTTGATTTTCTCCTTTTTGGGTTGCAGACCAGATATCATCATGAACCACACCCAAAAAACTTTCTTTCAACATCTTATCACTCTAAATAAATTCATTTCTTTCATATTTTTGTACAGAATAGAAACAATAAAAGGAGTTTTTTTTTTGACAGGGAATAGAATAGAACCTGGATGAGAATTGCACGACTTCTATCACTGATCCCAAACAAGTATTGTTCATTAATAGCAGACACAATGATCTTTAGTAAGTTTTAGCAGACACAATGAAAGAACAATTTAATAATAAATTCATTTCTTGCCTTCACTTCTTGAATGATATCTTTATCTGTACGCATCTTTTGCAGACCTGTTCAAGTAATAGTTATTGGCAACCAATTTTTCCTGCATAACCAAATTATTAAAAATTAAAAAATAATAATAATTTTAAAAAGTACAATAATGCCCTTATTGATACGCACCAGATGAGACTGCACATTTTCCATCTTCTTTTCATCAAACTCGTACTCCTTAACAGTTACTTTTGCAGCCTTTTAACATACAACAACAATAATAGTATCAAAAATGGATTACACAAGATGAGACAGGGGCCTTGATTCGATAATCAAATATTGCAAAACTCAGTGATGCAAATAATCAAACACTTAGTGGGCAATAAAAATCCAACACATTAAAATAGAAAAATAATAAAAAAATTTTTTTGCACCAAACATGGAAACAAAAAATAAAAGGAAGCTTGAACACAATAAAAAAGGAAGTAAGTAGTTGGGGATGATGATGAACAGTTAGTGATGATGGATTTATTTTCAACATATGATTTACCTTGAGATCCAAAATTAGCATGAAGAATAGGAATCACTCTGATAACCCTGTTGCAAAGACGTTCCCACATCATTATGCTTGTCAAAATAAGAAATTACATCAATGAATTTCAAATGTCTGTTTTTAGTTTTCAAAAGTAAAAACTTAATTGTGTTGATTGAAAAGAAGTTTAGGGAGGTAAAGGAGAAGAGGAGAACCTGAATGAACGAATCTGAGATAAGGTTAGATGTTGTTACCAGAGACGGTAACAATGGTACTCATAGAGCATAAGATTAAGAAGTAGGCACTGCATTGATTTTCTAGAAAGAAAATGACAAACATTTAGTAATCTATCCAAAATCAATAATCGGCACATCATCTGCACTCGACTCGATGACATCGTTAGCTTCCCGAAACTCCAGCGACACTGTTAGTTGGCTTGGACACCGACGACTCATCTGACCCACACCACGCCGACGTCAGTTTTACCAGCGACTCACCTAATCCCAAATTTGATCTTCAACCTTCGATTTCTAATCTTTAACCTCTAACTTGAGCCCTATAGCTCCTCACAACCCCTTGACAACCTTCGAACGCCACCTTATACCCTCACCTACAAATAAAAAAAAGAAATAATAAGAAGGGAGAAGAAGGGTTGTGATCGAGCCAGAGGAAGAAAAGAGGAAGAATAGGCACATCTTTTCTTTCGTCTTTCTTCTTTTCGCTCTCAAACTCTGGCTGTAAATAGGAAAGCGCAAGAGATATTGAGAGAATAGACACAAGAGATATAGAGACATTGATTCAGGTACGGTTGAGAGGTAAGAACATATAATCATTTGAAGAAGAAGAATTTGGATGGGTGAGGGTGGGGACGAGGAAAACTTGTTTCCTGTGAGACCCAGCGAACAAAAGCCCTAGTTCTTCCAAGTTTGGGATGGCATGTCTTTAACGTCTCATAGGGAGAAAATGGTGGATAAAAGAGGATAGTCGACATCGTTGACCACTTTATGGCTGTGATGCTCCAAAAATACGAAAGGGATGAAGAGTTACAGCCGCATAATGTGGTATAGGGTTTACAGATAAAAGGAGAAAAAGAGAGTGAAGGTTGTCGGCTGGTGGAGAGGAATAATTCGTTATTCCTTCCCGAACAGCAACAACTTGATTAGAGAACGAAACCTGCAAATGGGGTCTAGGGTTTACATGGAAACCCTAAAAGATGGATGAAACGTAGGGCTTTTAATTTTTTAGGATTTCATTTCCCCCTGCTATTAAAGAATGGAACGCGCGTTCCATTAAAATTTATAAAGTGATGTCCTTAGATGACACACATGTGCCCTCCATGTTTTTTTTCTTTTTTGTTTAGACACTAATCTAAGGGCACGCAATAATGCGTGACCTAAATCGTTAATTTTTTTGAAGAGACGACACTTTTTTAATGTTACTCTCTTTTACGTAACATAAATCAATGAGTGTCATGGTTTGCGCGTCGTAAAAGGGTCTTTTTCTTGTAGTGTCTGCAAAATCATTTGACCACATGTTGTTGACTTGGTCTTTGGCTTGTGGCTTATTTCTTGTCCTATTCAACAATATTAATAAATAAGACTTGCCAAGATATTAGATAAGTGAAAATGCAAGATCATGATGTCACATAATTGCCAAGTTTCAAGATAGTGACCAAGATCTTAAACAAATCAATACATGTTAATTAGTCAGATAAAAGAAAATATTACCCATAACAACTATCTTGGAAGATAGAGTTTCTTTCAGGATCAAACTTACTGATGCGACACAATTATCCGAACTGATCTTATTTGTTGAGTTGCTTGGGGAATTTTAAATTTTGAAGGGTCGAGACTTACGTTCAGAATTAGCTATAAATTAGCTCTTAATTACTGATTTCACATGCTTGAAATTAGAAACCCATTCCTTTATTTTTTTTTTATTGTCTTTCCTTTTCTCTTTCTTTTGCCATGCTAAGGGGCATTAGTTTTATTATGCTTTGGATATTTAAATGTTATTTACTACTGTTCTATTATTAGTATGATTTTTACTTAAGAATAAAAGTATACGCATTTTAAGTGCGACGTGCCGTAAACCATAGTAAAAAATTTTCATTTTCAAAAGATATTTCCATAAAATTCGTAAGGTATTCAATTCATTGTTTCAAAACATAAGCATATAATATAAGTATCAATAATATCTCTAAACATAAATCAATAGGATGATGTGTACGATCACGCCTTCAACTTCCTCCGATCCTATGAACTACCTAAAACATTTAAATCCACAACTATAAGTCAAAGCTTAGTGAGTTCCCAAAATACGGTACACAACAATAAACATACAATGCAAGCACACATGAGCCTACAGTGTGACTGAATTGTCTTGCAAGGCCTAAAATACACCTAGACCGCTCTCCTTGGACCTATAGTCTGACTGGACCTCCTTATAAGGCCTACTGTACACCTGGGTAACTTGGCCTACAATACAAAGCAGGACCGCCTCAACCCAACCACAATATGATGACATATGCAAACAAATAACAATAACCGACAAACACAGTTAATCATAACAAATCTACTAGTTTAACAAATCACTACAATATACCAAAATACTATACATAAGGATACATACTGCTATACAAATTATAGTGAGAAAACTCACCTTACAAGCTTGCAGACAAAAACACAGTTCTCACAGAACAAAGACTGGTGCTACGAGTCACCTATACAAAATTGGAAGATACATCCTTAATCTACCGTCTAAAAATCCTCAAGTTGACTAAAAGTCAACTTGGTCAAAATTCAACAGTTAACGGTCAAATTCCATAATGAAAAGTCAAATTAGCAGGCTACTACGTCGTGGCCAAGCATTATTCAGGTTGGGGTAGCCTCATAACAAAACAGTTGCGGTACTGCCGGGTAGCCAAACCACCACATTATGGGACCAGATCTGACCAACTTAATGAATTAATCTCTTAATCCTTCAAGCTACACATTCGTACTTTCCAGTAGGCTTTCTTACACTCAAAGAGTCATAAAAATCGTTGATTTATATACATGCATGTCTTTCCCAAGCTAGGTCATAACAATGGTGAAAATAGGTTCAAAATCTCATGCATGAAGAAAAAACCTACTAAACCTCAAATCTTGATCACTAAATCTCAAAGGGACCTCAAGGATCCATAAAGTTTCCAACTTTATGGAATCCATCCACTCAAAATCACCCAAACATGGAGAAAAACATAAAATCCTAGATCTAAAAGCATAAAACATAAATATTAGAACTTGAGGACATAAAATGATCCAAAATATATGTTGCAAGGTGGTGATGGAACTTGATTGTTGGCTCTTTTCTCAAGGGACACCTTATTCTCCTTCAATATCACCAAAAAGTGTCAATAACTCAATAATAGAGTCTAAGGTTTGACTAGGTCAAAAGGGAGGTGGTGGAGGTTGGTGTGAGGTAACCCTAGCCATCACATCCCTTATGTTAAATATGACTTGAACATTTACAGGATTCTCATGGACCATTTGAGTTCAATGGAGCACTTGGAACTCATTGGAGAACTTAGGGTTCATTAAGCATGTAACAAAGAAATGGATCATCTGAGAAGGGAATGAATCATTTGACAAAGGAATAGATCATCTGAGAAGGGAATGAATCATCTGACAAAGGAATGGATCAAGTGTTAAAGGAACGATTCATCTAAAATGGGATATGGAGCATCTAGAAGTGGTTTGGATCATTTAGGAGTGGAATGGAGCAACTTGATGCATATTTTCTCCTTTTGATCAAGTTTTGGGTTAAGTGGAAAGCATGTTGAGCCATTGGCAAACATGGCACACCACTTTGGACCGTGTTGTGCCACTCTAGTAGATGTTGCCCTAAAGTGGAAGAAGTTGCACCAACTTGGAAGATCTTGCGCCACTTAGAAGGAAGTTGCACCAAGCTCAAAGGATGTTACACCATCCTTACACAAGATGGGCCATCATCATGCAAGATGCACCACTTTAGTTCCTTCATAAGCCATGGTATCCTTGATAAGCCATGTATGCTATGAAGTCCTCTATGATGCTCAAGATTGTTCAAGGATGCTCAAAAGTTGAAGATGTTGGATGTTGGGCCACTAGTGTTCATGATGTGCCACCTGTGTAACATGACACTCCACTATGGTTTATGGTGCTCCCTTATGTGTGTTGTTGATACTCACGTGTTGTATGTTATGGATGAATGTTTTAGAAGCTACTGCATGGTGAATTATGATTGGTTGACACCATTCACGGGACTATGGGTTAATGGGTTTGGAGCATTAGGATTTTAGGTTTGATCCCTTCACTATCAATAGGGATGTATGCTAAGTCATTTGGTGTATCCTTTGAATCATTAGTGAGTAGGTCGAATCTCTATCGGTTGTACTTGTAATATTTGTTTGAGAACTCTATGAATAAAGAATGCTCCCCTCCTACCTGTAGACGTAGGTCACCTTGACCAAACCACATAAATATTGTGTCTTTGTATGCTTTTGGTTTTGTATGTTATTCAAATTACTTCCTAACAATGGTCATTAGAACTTGGCACATGGCTTCAAATTTGCTCTAAGTTTTAACAAGTGTCATTTGCTTTCCTAACAAGTGGTATCAGAGCTACAGTTGGTATTTAGTTGATTGAAGATAACATCTCACAAATTTATTTGGAGTAGATCAATGGTGAAATCATATCACTTTGTGGAAGGTGAAAATGGAGGCTCTTCTGATTCAACAAGGATGTGCAACGGAACTGGAAGGAGAAGCATATTTTCCAAAGGACATGGCAGATGAAAGGAAGGTGGGTATTCTAGAAAGTGTGTGTAACACTATTCTGTTGATTTTGACAGACGAAGTACTAAGAGAGGTCATGGATCAAACGAGTGCACCTGGGCTTTGGGAGAAATTGTGTGAAAAGTATCAAAACAGTTCCCCGATGAACATGTTGTATCAGAAGCAACGTTTGTATACTCTTAGGATGACGGAAAGCACCCATGTGAAGGATCAATTAGGTAA